TTATTTCATTTTGAAATTTTACCTGTAAATTAAACTGAGAATGTATACAATTAAACTATCAGAAATTACAAAAGCCCCCCAAAAAATCAAACGGGGGAGGGGGGTGCACCCGTACTAGATCCGCCTTTGGTTCTTGAGATGATTTTTAAAGATTCCCTTTATATATTCCTATGTAAAACTTTGATCACGCATCGTGGCCCAATCCTACCCCTGGGGGTCATGATTTGAACAAAATTGATTATGTTTTTGCTTGCTTATTTGTAGTTTAACGTCTTCATTTTTCACTCAAATGGAGACACCACCAATTGCCGGTGGAGGGCTGCAAATATAGACCTGTACTCGGTACTTAGGGCTTTTGAGTAGTGAGGGTCTCTTTCATGTCAGCACCTACTAAATTGAACATACAGTATGTAATGAAGAATTCACATAAGTATCATCTTTTCAGTTCTTGAGAAGAAGATTTTGAAAGAATTTTTTCTATATATTCTATGAAAAACTTTGATCACCTATTGTAGCCCCACCCTTCCCCCTGGTGACATGATCTGAATAAAACTGAATCAACACTTTATAATGAAGCTTTCATATAAGTTTCAATGTTTCTGACACAGAGGTTCTTGAGAAGATTATTAAAAGATGTCACTAAATTTTCACTAATTCATATCTACTTCCCTTGAAAGAGGGCATAGGCCTTCATTTGAAGAAACTTGAATCCACTTTATCCACGGATGCTTTTTGGCAAATTTGGTTGAAATTGGCCCACTAGTTCTTGAAAAAAAATGTGAAAAGTTTACAGAAGGACGGAAAGATGGACGACAGCCAAATGTGATCAGAAAGGCTCAGGTGAGCTAATAATGCCAACTCAACCACTAATTATATCGGCACATGTATAAGAATAAGGAGAAAATAATATCCAGATAATCATTACTACTGAACTAAAAAAATATTTCAATTTCCAAGTATAAGTCTCTCTCTCTCTCTCTCTCTCTCTCTCTCTCTCTCTCTCTGCACGACCGTAGAAAATATTCTTCAACACATATATATCGGCGACAAAATGTGCAAATGTTCACCGTACATATTGTCGCCAACGACAAAATGTGCCGATGTGTGACTGTACATTTTCTCGTCCATTATGCAGGAGGAAGAAAAGGCTCGTCTCGGTACATATTGTCGCCGTCGACAATATGTACCAATGGACGACAATATGTGCAGTGAGGTAGGTACATATTGTCACCGACGACAATATGTACCGAACGACAATATTACCGTCACTGGACTTCCTATATTTTGAAGCCTTTAAAATGATTGCTTTTAGGTTTTCATTTCCAAACAATGTATAAATAATGTGTCCAGAGGAGCTGAAGTTGTAAGAAGAGAATGAGCAAGAACACTAAAGAAGATTTTGTTTAAGGTGTTCAGTATTTAGGCATTGTAAGGTTTCTTTATGATTGACAAATTGAGAAGCAATAGTAAGGGAACATTTGTAGGAAATGCAGGGTGTGGACTTCAACTAGAAATATAATGGAATTGAAGACTGAATATTTTTATAATCAAGAACGTTTGTAATCTTCAGAGCAACTATTTTTTGTACTAAATGGAATTATATGAGAAATTTTCAAATTTTCTTCTTTTTTTTTTTAATTTATTTGTTTCATTAGGTGGATATATCATTTTCATTAATAAGGAACAAAAGTTATTATCTAAAATGTCCATCCATTTGTTTGTATGATAAAGTTTTTGTCTTGAAGCAGTTCTACTTTTATAGGTTCTGTGCTATTGCACATCCTTGTCTTTATGTACAATTATATTATAGTTCGTAAGTAAATATAGAAAGAAACTTGAAAGATTCAATAAAAATATGAAACCGAGACATATGTCCATTGCACATGAATGCCCTACCCAAGGTACAATAATTTTGTATTGAAACAAGAAAAGAAATGTACTTTGAAACATTAATGTGAGTTAAAAGTAAAATATTTAATTAATTAATCTATTCCTTTAATCTAAATTTGCCAACGAAGGAATTGGCTGTTATCATTTAACGATTCACCATAACTGCAAAATCAGTGCTTCTTTGGTCCGTTGTTAAGACTTTATGGTGGGGTATATTTGGTCATACATTGCAAATACATCATTAAAGGTCTTCCTCACTACTCATCTGAATTAAGCTGCCAACTTATTAACAAGATTGTAATAACCAATAACATGTACAGTGAAGCCCTTACACATCTGAATCAATCAATCTCATTGCTTTGATTTAAGTTTTGAGCTGCAGGTAGTGATCAGATCACATATCTTCGTACATTCATGATATGCAGACATTATAGTGGTTGTGAAAAAGTATTCTGTAAGTGATTCTAATATTCATAATATTCTGAAACCACCTTATACAAGGGTTTAACTGTGGGGTCCAAAAATTTGAGTACATTTTTCATTATTTTTCTTTTTTGACGATCCACTTTATTAATGGCAATAGTTTTTGCAGAAAATGCTCAATGGTTTTGATTGTTTTCCAGTGTATAATTTTTTTTAATTGGATTTGAAATCTTTGAAAATAAATTGCAGTGCAGTCTTATTGCTACTATTCCTTATTGCTAGTATTCTCTCTTCTAATTAGGTCCCCGAAGACTGATTGGCTGTGCACCAATACTTCAAGCGTTTTGTAGGCATGACCATACATACATATGCAAGACATTAATGATACACACAAATTTCTTGATGTATACTATGCTAAAAAACTTCTTGATCTCAGAAAAAATTGATGGCAATTTTCATATTACTAATGGAGGTCTTTATGAAATTAAAAATTTGACACAGGTAACTTATTTCATATATATTTTAGACTGACTGATGAAATATTTCACACCGGAGTAAATCTTTTGGACATGGCTATTTACAAAATGACAACATTCTCACAAACTCAATGATTAGACATCCGCTCATATATAAAACACCTACTAATAGATTCCAGAATTTGAACAGGCAAAGTGCGGACAGACTTCAGGAACTTAACTAAAGGAGATTGTACGAGACATCTGAAAAATAGTAGCAATTTTCTTTATGTATACATTTCTTTATATATACATTTACAAAATGTCATCTTTTCATGAAATGATTATAAAAATGAGTTGATTATTCAGTAAATTGTGCCTAAATTCTATCCAAACCAAAGTTACTGTGAGCAAGCTCAATAGTTTTCAACCTTCCGTTGTACATGTATATATTTTCGATTGCTGCATCTAATGTTAATTCTTTCAAAGTTTTGGATAATTAGTACTTAGGTTATACTCTGCTAGTGACTTGAATTTGCCCAAATAAATCGTTCAAGGTCATCATGGTCATGACAAACTCTGAGATCATAAGCAATCGTTGTGTCAAATATGAGTTTTTAATATACACGTATCTCTATTGAAAAGTCATGGTCCGAACATGATTGCATGACCAGACGGACAGATAAACAGACAAGAATACTCCTAAATACCCCAAGACTTTGTCTTGGGGTTATAATTACTTGTAGACATATATTTTATTCATTTAAGTGGACAAAAGCAAATACACACAAATACTGAACGCATAAGTCCATGGTAATCTCTTCATTTTCACAATTTAATTACTTTTCAATTTTTTTTTGATAAGAAGGGGGTTTTGCCAGTTTATTTTTTTCCTTTGCGTTTAATATAGATTAAGACACATATCTTACGTCATTTTGATAACAAAAACTTCATGTTGCAATCCTGTTTTTTGCTATGTCGTGTCCAGAAAGACTGAACTAGATCCAAAATGTTTCATTACTTTGCCAAAATAGTCTTATTTTAACAAACATGTCATAAGAATATTCAGTATGATTTTATATTAGCAAACCATAGTAAACTTTAAAAATTACATTTATCTCAAATGTTTGGTTTGATACTACCAGTGTATTAAACGCTTTTTCAACGGATATTAATCATCAACATAACCTCCGGTTTTGACACGATAGCTCGCTTCAAGATGTAAATTTCGCTCAACTTTAAATAGAGAAATTCATGAATTTTAATAAGCCAAAATGTTCGTTAAAAACAGGAAAATATTCAACATACCTCACTGAAATGTCTAATTCCAGTAATATATCGTAGAATAATATTTAACACCCTCACCATCGTTTACATAGTTAGGCAAAGTTGCATTATGTTATTAATGAAAGATTCCTTCAACCGATCAGGAATGTCTGTCAATTTATTCAATGTCTAATACATGATAATAGAAGCATAAAAGTTAACATATATAGATCTATACAGGTCTTCGACCCTATACAAAATGCATGTACATGTAAATCCTGGGAAGGCATTTCACGACACTTATGATATCCTTGGAACATTACAACTTCAAGTCATAAGTTTGCATGAATTAAATATCCAATATACAAAATGTATTTGTCACATTATGTTTAACAAGACGCAACTTTTCTGTCAACTGCGTATAATTTTTATTGATCAATAAAAAATTTCTTTCGGCAATTTCTTTCAACTTTAACAGGGCTCAGAAATGTATATTATATAGGTGTGAACATTTTGCAAATTGTCACTCTGATAAAAGTTTAAAAAGGAAAACGACCAAGAAAGAGTAAACCAAATTTGACTTTGATTTTTGTCTACAGGGATGGTTTGTTTTTCCTTGTTCCTTCCGGTTAAACTAACTGCCTCATACGAGGAAAATTACGATAGATGATATATATCCAGTTTTGGACTAAAGGCATGGATTGACATAAAGTGATAGCAAAACCTCAACCACAATCCTTTAATTAAGTGCACGTATCATTCATCGGTCATTCTCTAATACACAAGTAGTAGCTTCTAAATAAACATTATTTAACAGTTCAATGTACATGTTCATTGTATTTCTGTTTTTCTCTGTCATCATTGTTTTTGAAAAAATGTTTACCCCTTAATTATAAATGTACGGGGGGGGGGGGAGAAAAAAAACTGCTTTGTTTAATATAAATTCTATTTCAAACTGACTATGCGTGAAAGTGGAATGTGAATTTTATTACACAATTTATGAAATCACATCACATATAGTTTGAATTTTTGGACAATATATAATTAATGTTTTAATGAACTTGTGATTCTGATCCGCATCATTGGCGTTTCATCTTCAACAATCAGTCTTTCGTATGCAGTTGGAGATGGCGGCATGTCGGGAATATCTACCTCAGTTTCTGTGTCTTGTCTGATTGGCTCTATTGTCATTTGTGGTAACTTAGGAATACCTTTTCTTTCGAAGTCTATAATATCGGATCGGGCTCGCGATTTTGCAGAGCCTATTACTTCCGGGAATACTTCCCTTGGACCACCAATAGCAGTATTTGGTTTGGCATATTCAGGAAGGTATGAATTTTGTTTTTGGAAGTCTGAGAAACCAACGCTTATTCGAGTGGAACTGCGTTCAAGAAGAAGATGCCCTGTTAAAAGAAATTGCAAAAGCATTTAAAAGATATATTCTAGCAAATTCCATTTTTTATTCAAAATAACTCCAGACTTCTGTATACATAACTCGCCTTATCATGTGGACATTTGCGCATATCTTTACATGAAATGACGGGATGTCGAAAGTAATAGGAATCTTGGGTAAAAATATTTGTTAACAGTATATGATAAAGCATACCTTTCCCAACTATCTGTGCTTTCTGTACTTCGTCTATTGCTTTATGGTCTCTTGGTGTCAACATTTTCTGTGAAGAGATCGGATTAGCGTACACAGTTTTTGATCCATTTAGTGAAATTACTCCACTTTTTTATTATCTTAACTTTATGTTTGTGAAATGATCCCCAAATTTCTTGAGATCATGGATCAGCTAAAACCAGGGCAAGATCTGGCTTTTCTAGTTTATCATCATCAGAAATAGATTTGACAGTTTCGATATCCGAATATATTTTCGAATTTAACAAGGATTGATTAGTCCTTGAATTCAATAAAGGTGCAGTTCTTGGGGCTAAAGGGATGTCCAAGTCTGCTCGACTCTCTAAATCTTCATCAATGGTTGTTCCTAAGGTAGTTCGTTGGCCAAGTGGCGTATTGGGTGGTGTTAATAGATCCCCCATGCCTAGAGATGTATTTGGGGGAGGAGGGGGAGAATGCACAGAATGACCAATATGACTAATATGACTACGTTATTTATCACCGGTAACCATCATTGTTAAGCTTTGTAAGTTTTTATTGTTCTGAATCTTTGGTTTGTCTTTTGAGAAGGATTCTGGAAGCTTGGGTTTTACTCTTCTATTTTCTTTACGGATTAACCCTTCCTTGTCCCACTCAAACAAAGCGTCTGCGTGAATAGGTGTGTAGGTAAGTCTAAAATCTGGTTTTGTAGATTCCGACGTAATAAGATCCGAAACAGCAAAGGCGCAAATAAAGATAAAATTTTTGCCTTTTATACAAGTTTTTACATTCATTATTGAAATTTTCTATACTATTATTAAGTTCTTCCCATTTTGCATGAATTACTGCCTTAATGTCACTAAAGGTTGAAATATCTTCCATATGTCTTTTTTTAAGCCGTTGGCATGATTAAACGAAAGTCTTCTTATTCCATCTTAAATTTTACCGTAAATGTTTTAATCTGAGTTTCAATCGGAACTGCTTTTGGGCTGTTTTAGTGTAGAAAATACACTGCGTTTTAGAAGCTCTCCTGCGTTAATCAGGAGATACTGAAAAATGTAGGTAACTTGTGTACTTATTAATAATTTCCCAGAAGTGATTTGTATGTATTATATAGAAGGAAGCCATAATTTAAAAGGCACAACATGGTTTCTCAGATGAAGTGCATTTTTACACTCTTGGAAGAGTCCTGATTCATATTTGAATTAAAACAATTTAGGGAGGAAAAAAAAAGAAAACTGGATCTAACTAACAGCATGCCAGCATGGCAACATGCAAAATAACTTATCAATAAATAGATATGTGGAATGTTCTCTAGCGAGAACGTTGCTAATTTGTAAAGAGGGTCTTTAAAAACTTAGATTGAAAAATGTATGAATGAATAAACGTTGTTATTCCCACAAAAAGGAGTAACCTTGCACTTCAAATATATATTCAATTAAAAAGGTTAAATCATAAATAGAATTGCAAAATTTATCATGTCTGCTGTTTGTGGCTTTGTTTTTTTAGCAATATTTTCAAAATGTGCATTTAATAAGTTCACAAAACTTGTTAGTTTAAAAAGTTTTTTGAGCTGTGTTTTATGTATAATAGTATCCAAGGGAAGGTCTTGTCACAAGGATTAATTATGTGAAGTATGAAAGCCTTAGCACCAACGGTTCAAAAGTTATGACCAAGGTTAACGTTTTCCAAAAGTAAGTCAAACTCCAAGGTCAAGGTCAAGAGGTCAAATAGGGTGGTATCGAAAGGAAGGTCTTGCCACAAGGATTTCATACGTGAAGTATGAAAGCCCTAGCTCCAACGGTTCAAAAGTTATGGCCAAGATTGAGGTTTTCCAATAGAAGGTCAAAATCTAAGGACAAGGTCAAAGGGTCAAAGTTGTTAGTATCCTAAGGAAGAACTTGACACAAGGATTACATATGTGAAGTATGAAATTCCTAGCACCAATTGTTCAAAAGTTATGGCCAAGGTTAAAGTTTTTTAAAAGTAGGTCAATCTCCAAGGTCAAGGTGAAAGGGTCAAACTTGTTGGTATCCAAAGGAAGGTCTTGTCACAAGAACTACATATGTGAAGTATGAAAGCTTTAACACCAACCGTTTAAAAGTGATGGCCAATGTTAAAGTTTTTCAAAAGTTGGTCAAGCTCCAAGGTCAAGGTCAAAGGGTCAAAGTTGTTAGTATCCTAAGGAAGGTCTTGTCACAAGGATTACACATGTGAAGTATAAAAGCCCTAGCTCCAACTGTTCAAAAGTTATGGCCAAGGTCAAAGTTGGGTAAAATTTTGTAAAACTAAGTCAAACTGCACGGTCAAGGTCAGAAGGTCAAATACGGTGGTACTCAAAGAAAGGTCTTGTCACAAGAAAACACATGTGAAATATGAAAGCCATAGCTCCAACCAATCAAAGGTTATGGGCAGTGTTAAAGTATTTGCCTACAAATAGACAAACAAATAAACAGACAAACAGACAGACAGACGGACGGACGGACAGGGCAAAAACTACCCCCGAATCTTCGGTACGGGGGCATAAAAATCAAAGGAATCTTGATTGATAGTGATGATAATTAAAAGTCGTATTGCTTCATTTGTTCACAAAGCTAAATACAATTTTTATTGTACTAACACAGGAGACATCAACACTCTTGGGGTAACATAGAAATGAATTAATTCAAATCATTAATATACGCGCACATTAAAGCACTTTAATCTATTATGAGGTAAAAATTGATTTACAAAAAAAAACTGACGAAATAAAAGTTACTCACCTCCTGTTTTATCCACCGAAAGCATTTTCACAGGATGTGTATTTCTAAAGTGTTTCAAAAACAATACCGTTTATATATATATATATATATATATATATATATATATATATATATATATATATATATATATATATATATATATATATATAAAGCAGGTTTGTGTATACTATCACGGGTCATATACGAGGTTTATTTATTTGAACAAATGCAATGCGTATTGTCCTTCAAGTAAGGCTGTATCTAATGACAATGCCTTTAATCTTATCATCTTATCAAAGCTTTTCACACACTGTAATATACTCAACACTTGTCATTTTATTACTCAATTCACTTATTGTCAAGGAACTTATTTTATATACTCTGAATTCTATGTGTCAGTTCGGAGGCCAGATCATTACCGACCACTTCCGTCTGTGTCCCTGCATTTAATTCTTTATTGTTAAAATTGTTGTCCATCGTTCAAACCTTTAATAAATTCGGAAACCAGGTTAGTCGTTACTTTGTACTTATCATATATATGTGTTTTCGGGAAGAGCCCTAGGAATACGGCACTCTACTTCCGGCCTGCAGCGCCACTAATTTCACTGCCAACATTCCCTCTTACCCGTACAAGGACATATTATTTTAGACCCAAAACTACACGGTTACAAATGTCTTCTTATGAAAAATTACTGGCCAAGACAAGATGAAAGTAATGTGAAAGGTTCATTACAAAGTGAATATTCATTTTTTTTTTTCAAATTATGACCCCCGTGGGATAAGGCCAAATAAAAAGATACTGTGTGTTTCTGGTTAATTGCCAAATAAAAGTAGGATAGGTAAGTCGGCGACATGCATTTTATTGATTTTGAGAATCCTATACAAGTGGACAAATGTATAGCTCAAGTACAGATTTGATATAAAATGTAGGAGGGACATTTGGATTAAGCCATAATAAAAAAAAATCCTAATTTCTCGCCACCACCCACCCCGACTTTTTACCCCTGCCTCGATTTCTTTGTCTTGATTTCGGTCACGGTAGCCTAGTGGTAGGGCGCTCGCTTCGTGATAGGGAGGCCCTGGTTCGATTCTCGTTCGACGCGCCGCGTCAAACCTAAGACGTAAACAAAAGTAGTGACTGTTCTTTCGCCAAGCGCCCGGCACTAGAAGTGAAAGTCACGGGTCTTTCGGCAAGATAAAAAAACTCTCACTGCTCAATGGCCCTCAGTGCCTAGTATAGGTCTAAATCTGAAGCCCTTCACCGGCATACAGTGACACCTCTGTATGAGTGAAAAATTCTCAAATGGGACGTTGAACAAAATACAATCAATCATCGTCTTGTTTATGATCGGGATTGATATTAACTACCATTCAACTTTCATTTTAAACACCACAAATGTTGGCATGATTTTGACAACTGACAAGATGATAATTGCTGTAATGTATATTAATCAAGGATCATTGGTTGTGAAAGATTGATGGGGATGGGTTGAATGAGTTACGCATAATTAAACGGATCTAAAAAAAAAAAAAAAAAAAAAAAAAAAAAAAACTAGCATTCTCAAGAATAGCAAAGTGATGATTTGCCATATTTATTGAATTGAATTATTGATATGGAAGCATCCTCAGATAAAAAAAAAAAAAAAAAAAAAAAAAAAAAAAAAAAAAAAACATTAAAGTTTGTTCAAATTATGCCCCGGCCCCGTGGTGGCGGGAAGGAACTAGAATATGAGGATATAGTATTACAATGCAGGAAAATACGTATTATGGTAAATCTTTTTTTTAAGAATCTTTGTTTAATGAACAATGAAGCCGTGATAAGTCATATTCTTGCACAAGCATCTTCATGTAGTTTAGATTTAAGTCTGTCCTAATTATGGTCCTTGGGAAAAGGTTGTGGCTATAAAAGAGGATCCTATTTTTTCAATGAATCTTTTTCAATGAACATAATATTATGATCTTTTTCAATGAACATAATATTATGATCTTAATGTCGACTTATATAGAGTGAAAAGAAGAACATAAAATTAAAATATTTTAAATAAATATAAATACACTTTAATATGATAATGAATATTCAATTTTCATTTAATTGAACTTTGGAATGATTGTCGATATCAAGTCAAACAATAATACATTTCATGTTCCTTTTGTTGACCATTCGCAAACTGTAAAGTTTTTGGATTGCGTTAAATCATCAGATTGAGTGTGAGAAAACTTTTTGTTTTGTGGATAATTGAATAAGTTTAAAACAGTTGTTGTTGTGTTCCTTCAATATCACTATGGTTGGTACGTTTATGATTTAGCATTTTATTTGTCCCTCCCATGTAAGTAAATTCAGTTTCAAGTTGACTTAATTGCTTGTTTCTTTGAAATGAATTCATTTTTGCTACGAATAAAAAAAGAGAAAATGCTATATTTTATTGAATTAAATTGAACTGTGATATCCAAACATGATGTATCCCTGGTTATAAACAAAATGATGCACTAACACTGACTTGGGAGCTTATGACTTAAATTGTTGTCAAAACATGATTTGATATTAAATGATACATAGAATGCGTTTGACAAATTACTATAAAAATGAAGAAATACTGCATGGTTTTATTTCTTCTAAATATTTGAATACTGATATTAGTATTTTATACCTGGACCTTTCGACGAGTACTCAAGTACAAGTAACCAATTAATCTGAAATTCTGCTCTAAAAGATCAAAACAATGACTTATATTCTAGATCGGGTAGGGTAGATTTAATTGATTTTTTTTCCTAGTTCATTGTCCCCGGTGGCTGGGAAGGGTAGGGCCACAATTGGACATAAAGGTTCCGCCTATGAATATAAAGAGTAATATTTTTAAAATCCATTTTTATTACTCTATTATTTTTTATTAATTTATTAAAAAGAGGAAGACCATAATTACACATCTTCAGGTGATGTTGGTTCAAGTTTGTTAAGTTGGAAAGTATTCTTCAAAATCACATAAAAGGTCCACGAATAGTTTTATCTATTAATATGCAAGCAACCAGAGATGTTCTTAACTGTTGGCTAACACAAAAATAAAAGCTTCCATATTTCTTCACAGATTCTTTAAAATATAGGTATACGTCATAAGGTGCTATGGGATGATTTATGTAAGATTTAAGCTTACTCCAGTAAAGTCTGATTGGTTAAGGTTATGTATAAAGTTAAAAATAAGAGCAAGGTTATACGTGAATGTATGCTGAATTCTGATCAGATTATATCAGTGGCTTTAGTTGTCCAAGTTTTCAAAACAATACACTAAAATATAGGCACATATATTTATTATGAAATACCATGCATTTAGAACGATCTTTGAAAACAAAGAGAATGCATTTGCTCTGAAATCTGGTAACTGTAAAAGTAATAAACTGGATGCAGCACTAACTAAAACAAAATTCCAGCAGCCTTCAGGTCATCATTATACCCCCTCGGAGTGGGGGCGGTATATTGTTTAAATCTTGTGTGTCTGTGTGTTATCTGTGCGTCTGTCCAAATTTTTATCACAGTTTCCTCTCAGCAACTACTCATCGCAGATGCTTGAAGGTTTAGAACTTTTTGTTTAGGCATGTCATAATGATGTGGTGGGATTCCTTTTTGTACATAACTGATTTCAACTTCCAGTTTATCTGTGCGTCTGTCCGTACTAAATTTTTGTCGCAGTTTTCTCAGTAACTTCTCATCGTTGATGCTTAAAATTTTAGCACACTCTTAGTTTCGTCATGCCTTACGGTGGGATTCATTTTTGTACAAATCTGAAGTCAACTTTCTGTTTATCCGTGTATCTGTCCGTACCAAATTTTTGCCGCAGTTTTCTCATTTTACTGTTCACATGAGAACGTATATTCACATCAGAGCGGTTGTATTGCTAGTGAGCATTTGCTTACAGACTTCTTTGTTTCTGGGTCAGCTTCCTGATATTGCCTATACACTGCAGTTATTGTATGGGCACTGCATGAAATGCAGAAGACCTGTAGGGATCACATTGTCCATCCATTCATTTGATTTCAACACTTTTGTCACATTAACTCAGTTTTCAATGAAACTATTGTACAAGGGGTGATCAAAAAGTTCGCGAACTAATTGAATAACTTCTTTAAAAGAAACAGAATGAAGTTTCAGTGTTTATTATTTTTTAAAGTAGTCCTCTCCGATTTTAATGCACATCTGCTATTGTTCTGCACATGCGCGAATCACGTGATCCAGGCAGTCACGTGACATGCTCCGAAGCAGTCTGTTCAGAGAAGCAAAACGATCTTTCCGAGTCATATATTTCTTACCATGCAAGTTATTTTTTATAACAAAAACAGTCCATCTGTCAGAAATGGCCAAATCTCGGCAATAGGATGGGTGGATAAGGATATCCCTTCCCACAATTAGTATGGTGACCCATCACAACCCGAGTCCTCTGTCTCGGGAGAGTCGTTTTTCCAATATGGATAAAGTATGGGCGCCTTCTTTTTATCATATCTCATATGTTTAAAGTCTAAAGTAAACGATATTTTAGAGATTTAACAATTATGTTATTGTTAAGATATACAACCATTATTCTAATTGTTACTTGACGATGTTTCATAAAAAATTGCTCAACTAAGGACACATCTTTTGCCCGGCTTGCTTTCGCTGGGCAACAGAACAAACATCATTTTTAACCGTCTCCCTGTCTTTACTTAAACAATCAATCCAATTAATGATTGAACTTCTGGTAAGTCTTTTGTCTTCATAAACCTTGTACAAATTATCATATTCTACTGCAAAGGAATTTCCAAGATATACGTTAAACTTTACAGCCGTTCGTTGCTCGAGTACGACTGAGTCAACCATTTTTTGTCACAAGTGACCTACATATTGACGTCATTTTCACATTGTGACGTCACAAACACGGAGCAAAACATTATTTAACATATGTTATTTATAGAACATGTGTATGACTATTTGTGTGCCAAATTTCATTCTGATCTGAATTGTGGTTTTGTAAATATAGAGATAGTTCGCGAACTTTTTGATCACCCATTGTACACAAGAACT